AGAGAGAGAGAGAGAGAGAGAGAGAGAGAGAGAGAGAGAGAGAGAGACCCACTGCTTTCTGATTGCTCGGTGAGCGCACTAGCTCCACGACCTCCCGTGGCTCACCACATGAGAACAAAGCCTGGGCTCCAAGGCTTGGGGGTGGCAGTACTCATGCCCCGGGGAGTGGCGGAGCGCGCAGGGATAGCGGTCAAGGAGCTCCCGGCCTGCAAGAGCGACTTTCAGACCCTCAGTCATCACCACCACCCCCAGTCACCCCACGACCCCTCTGCGCGCTGCCACTTACTTGTGATCCATCCCGGCTCGCACGCCGCCAGCGGCCAGTGTAGCTGCAGAGCGAGAGCCAGCAAGCAGAACCGGGCGACGCCCGCGCGCCCGGGCATGATAGCAATGGCCCTCTCACTGTCCGCAATCACACATCCCTTGCCATTGCCTGGCCCCGGCCTAGCGGCGGCGGCGGTTTTCAAGCAAACGTTGGCCTAAAAGCCACCCAGCCCACAGCCCAGACGCTCCGCCCCCAGCCCCTCAGGGCTCAGCCCGGAGAGGGAGGAGGGGAGGCGCCATGCGGAGGAGAGGGGTGGTGGTGGCTGGAAGGACAGCAGTAGGAGGAGCGAGCGAAGCCCCCTGGGAGCATCACTGACTCAGGTGAAGGACACCCAAGGGAAGGGATGGTCCTAATTTCTGAAGTAATCCACCATTCTGGAGACCTGGGAGATTACAGGGCTGAGGTTGAAAGTGTTAAATCCAGACCCCCTTCTGCAGCACAGTTTTCTCTATCCCGCCTTACGCTAAGCTCTTTGGGCGACTGAGGCAACTCTTTCTAGTGCTGCCTTCCAGGACTGACTACTCTTGGAGTCAGGCTCTGAAAGAGTTAATTCCAAGGCACTGAAATAAGTGCTAAAAAGAAGTTGTTTTCTTATCAGGACTCCAATCTGGGCCTTTAGTCCATTCCTTCTGACGGGGGGGGGGGGGTGGGACAAGGGGTGGTTTCGGAGCCAGCATCCCAGACGACAGGGCTTCTGTACTCCAGAAACCCAACACCAAGCCCAAGAAACAGCCTAGACACAATTACAGAGGAGGAGGGAAGCCCTGGGCTGTATGTTTGGGGGGGCAGGAGAGAGCAGAATTTAGGATGGTTAGAGTTTAGGATGGAATGGAAGATGAGACCCACAAATAATGACTATCACTAAGAAAATTACAGTAGCAGACACTTAGGATTTAACTTTTATTGACATTCCCTGGGGGCTGGAGAGATGGCTCAGTGGTTAAGAGCACTGACTGCACTTCCAGAGGTCCTGAGTTCAAATCCCAGCAACCACATGGTGGCTCACAACCATCTGTAATGAGATCTGATGCCCTCTTCTGGTGTGTCTGAAGACAGCTACAGTGTATTCATATATAATAAATAAATAAATCTTTAAAAAAAAAAAATAAAAGACATTCCCTACGTGCTAGGACCTCTGATACCTGATCTTGCCCGTGAGTCCACTGTGGACTGGAAATCTATCTCAGCTGGCAGAATGTTTGTCATGCACTCATGAAGCCCTGGGTTCCATCCCCAGCACCTCATAATTCCAGGGATGTGATGTACCACTGTGATCCCAGCACTTAGTGGGTGGAGGCCTGAGGACCAAGAGTTCAGGGATTTTCTTTGCTATGTGGTGAATTTGAGGCCAATCTGGACTGCTTGACTCAGTGTAGAATAACAATGATAATTAGGCTGACCATCTGGAGGGGGTAGATATTAACATTATCTCTGATATCTCCCCTCTGGGGAGAGGAATCAAACCTGCAAAGAGTCAAGTCTCCTCACCGAAGGTCACAAAGCTAATGTCTGGGTTTCAATTAGGGTTCACATCTGTGATATTACAAAGTTCGGTGTGACATGCCTTAGTTGATGACAATGAACAGAAAAAGAAGTAGCCAGAAGTAATCTATATAGGATTGGTTAGCAAAATTTCAAGGGGGGAGGAGGTTCTGGAAGCGGAATCTGGCACCTACCCTTGTCAGTTTCTTTCCTCATCCCCTACCCTGCCCCTCACCCTCAAACCTCTCTGGCCAACACTAGGTAGCATAACTGAAGATATCAGGCCAGGAACCCTCAAAAAGAACACAGGGGCCGAATCTGCAAGGATATCACCCGGGGGGAGGGGATCAAACAGTTCTTTCTTGCCATTGGTGTGGACAGGAACTGTGTGCGTGGTCTCCATCTGCTGCGATGGAAAAGCAGATGGTGGCTTGGAGAGTTGCCTCTGTCACCCCCGGGCGGCAAGTGATGTGACTGGTCTGAGGCGTTAAAGAGTCATTTGTCGATCCTGGAAAGCTGGAGTGTCAAGCCCCACGTGTCACCAGGTCAGATTCTGATAAACTCTTCTATTCCTTTGTAAACAACTGTGTCTTCACCTGGCCCTGTCCGTGCAAGTACAGAGAGCAAGCTCTGATGTCTTCTGAGGAAGTCCACGCTCTGTGTGAGCCCATCCTCATGGACTCATTTAACCTTATTATCTCCTTGTGGGTACCATCTCCATGTCACACCGGGGCTTGGGTAGCAACATGGGGAGGGGGGCGGTGTTCGTGATTTAGCTTATCACATACTATCCTCTCATTCTCCAAAGATCATGTTTTCACATGCAAAACTGCAAAAAATATTCACCCTCTTACAACAGCTCTCAAAGTCAGTTCATACTAGAATAGCTTGAAAGTTCAAAATCTAATCTGAACAGCATCTGAATTAGGAATGTCTGAGAGAGGAGTGGTTATCCTCAGGCAAAAACTCCTCTTCAACTTTGAGTCTGTGGAACCTGACAAGGTATGAGCTTCCAAATGATAGGCTTTCTTTTTGTTGGCTTTCTGTTTCAAGACAGGACTTCTTTGTGTAGCTCCGGCTGTCCTAAAACTCTATCTTCTGCCCAGGCTGGCCTTGAACTCACAAAGATCGGCCTGCCTCTGTCTCCTGAGTGCTGGGATTAAAGGTGTGCACCACCATGCCTGGCCAATGGATAGTATTTCAAAGGGAGTAATCAAAAGGAGTGGAATGTTGGTACCAAAAAGTCCAGTGCTTTAGCCAGACCAAATATATTATCTGGCCTCTAGGTCACCTGGCACGGGTCATCCTTCAACCCCACAGCTCTCTGTCAGAGCCAGAGTGAGGGAGCAAAAGGAGGAGAGGACCCTGGAAGTGCTGGTGAACTCTGGAAGGTCTCTGGGTCATTGTTCCCTACTCTTCAAGGAGAAGCAGGTAGCGGACAGCCTTGCTTATTCCCTGACTGGACTTCTATGATCTCTTCCGTATCCTCAGCTTCTACCCAACTGGCCGATTGAGACAGATGAATTGCCTCTCAAGTTCCCTCTACGATTGACTACGAATAGACTGTGAATGAGCCAGGTCAACAAGCTGTGAGGTTCCAGTTGCAATTCCTTTCATTCGTCTCTTTCTTGTATTTAAATGAGCAACACCTGGAAAGCAGGATGCTTCAGCTAGGTGTCTCCACAGTCTAGTGTGGACCTGCTGTGGGTGGAACTCAGGAAGTGTGTGTGTGTGTGTGTGTGTGTGTGGGGGGGCCCCCCCCCCCCCCCCGTCTAAGGTCCCTGTGTGGGGAAGGCTTGGCCCCCAGCTGCTGGCACCATCCAGAGAGGATTGTACCATGAGGTTGCTAACTTCATCAGTGAGTTAATCTTTCTGAATGGACTATTGGGAGGTCCATCCAGGTTAGAGGAAGTAAGCCCCTCGGGGGTCTGCCTTTGAAGGTTATCTTCAGCAAGATCTCTCTCTGCTCTCTGATGGTAGGGAGGCCATACTCTGAGTTCCCTTCCACACTCCTTTCATCTTACTATCTTCCTCAGTGCCACTCATCTTACCTAAATCTGCATTACTTTGGTAAGAGTGCTATATCAAAATAACTGATTGGTGCCTTGTGTCGTGTCGTACAATTTACTGTCTCTATTAAGGTGCCATCGGGGCTGGTTTCCAGTTAGACCTCTCCAGCCTGCAGAGACATACTGCTTTTCAATATTCTGCATTTATGCCCCCGTTTCCCCAGATGCACAGGGAGGGGGGCTTCAGGGTGGGAGGCAAGGGAACTCTGATGTCCCTCTTCTTACAAGATGAGTCTTGTCATACGTTGAGACAGATTTGTTGTGTATTTAACGACCATCTATCCTTAGATACTTGAAGCAAAAGGGGCCCAGCTAGGTGCTGACCTCCAAGGTTGATGATTTGAGTTTGATACCCAGGATCCACATGGTAAAGAGAGAAAACTGATTCTGTCACATTGTCCTATACACATGCATAGTGGCATATGTGCACACACACACACACAGTGTGGGGGGAGAGAAGAACAAATTTTTTAAATGTAATTTCTTAAGAATTAAAGGCTGGGCAGTGGTGGCGCACGCCTTTAATCCCAGCACTTGGGAGGCAGAGGCAGGCGGATTTCTGAGTTCGAGGCCAGCCTGGTCTACAGAGTGAGTTCCAGGACAGCCAGGGCTACACAGAGAAACCCTGTCTCGAAAAACAAAAACAAAAAATAATTAAAAATTGACAGTAGAGGACTATGAGAAACCGGCTGAGCAAGCAGGTTCTTATAGTAACATGATACCAAGTTCCCAAGATCATATGTATTTGAAGACTGAAGCCAAGCACAGCATGGGGCCGTCTTTTCTCTCCTTTTGCAACATGTAAGACAGTTCTCACTGCAAGGCGTTGGACGCAGCATAAATTGAAGAATTTGAGTCACAAGACAGACCTCAGAGTTTCCTGGAGAAACTTTTCCTCTAGTTTCTGAGGTGCTATTATGAACGATTCAGCGGAAAAAAAAAAAAAACAAAAACAAACAGCACGCATTTGCAAAACTCGATTCTTTCCTTTACTGTGACCATCAAGCCTGGGAACACAATGGCTACTGCTCAGAAACATAAAATGAAATGTATTGAACAACACAAAAGAGTAGATGAAACTGTGGAGACATACATAGTGTTCCTAGAAAGGAAAACTTTTGTCTTCTCCTGAAGCAGGGTCTCATTATCCCAGGCTGGCCTCAAACTTGCTAAGTAGCTGAGGATGGCCTTAAACTTCTGACCCTCAGCCCTCTACCTCAAAAGTGCTGTGTGCTGCTGCTACTGTGTCTGTTTAGCGTTAGGGATCGAAGCCAGGACTTCATGTATGCTAGTCGAGCACTCTACCAAGTAAACCCCATCCCTAGAAAACTTTTTAAACAAACAGAAGAACTGAAGAAAAAAAATGCCTATCAAGGGGCTAGAAAAGTGGCTCAGTGAGTAAAAGCTCCTGACTGTGGGAACATAAAGACTTGAGTTCAAATCCCTGGACGGGAGAACTGGAAGGACAGTTGGTGGTTAAGAACACTTGTTGTTTTCTTCCGTTTGTTGAGTTCTGCAGGCTTGCAACTCTCTGTGGTTCC